TCTCTCCATCTATCTATCTATCTATCTATCTATCTCTTACACACACACATGCACACACACACGAACATGACAAAACACACACCACGAGACAACTTCGTCAGTCTGGATCGCCTCGCCCTCCCTCTCCCCCCCTTCACACAAGTCCGTGACAACTGCACACATTACTCACTTCCATCTTTCTTCGCACGATTGCCCTCTTCTTCGCACGATTGTCCTCTCCTCCTTCGCACGTTGATCTCCAAGAGTTGACGTTGCGTCGCTGGTCGTCTCGTCTACTCACGCCTCCGGGCCGGAACACACACCAACTGTTTCTTCTCTCTAGTACTCCAAAAAATTCTCGCGTTTTGACGGTATCTACGCACCCTGCCCCGCCCTCAGCAGTAGATGGTGGTGGTGGGTAGAAAGCAGTAGGTTGGATCCGGCTACCACTTGAACACAAATGAATTTTCGGGGAAAACAGGATTCCCCTCCCCTCCCCTCTCGCCTCCCCTCCCCTCCCCTCCCCTCCCCTCTCCTCTCCTCCCCCACCCCTTAAAAATGAGCGAGGTCTTTCCCTTTTCTTTTTTCCCTTTTGGATGCCGCTTCGGTTTTTCAAATTGTGTTTTTAATAACCGAAAACAGAATAACTTAGCCAATCACAACGTCCCTACATCTTTTTGCCACGCCCACGGGAGTGCGAGGGAGTGAGAGAGAGAGGGGGGGCCCTCCGCCCCGTATCACACCACCGATGTGAGAATTTTCCTTGCCATGTACCATCGGCGGGACCGTCAGGTCCGGGAGCGGCAGCACATACTCACACTAGCACTTTTCTAAATGTATCTGACCACAATTACAGCCGGTCCTGGATGCATCTGAGGGCAATCACTTCCAGAGCCTAGGGTGAGTTTGCCCTCATCCACCTACCGTCCAGTTCGAAATTTCCGAAGGTTCAAAGTATTGCAGTGCAGGAGACCTCTTGGGCTCCCAGCTCGCCCCTAGCACCAGCAGGCACCTCTGGTGCCATGTTTGTCCTCACAAAGCATGAACCCAGTCATGAAAACTGCCGAGATTCGTGCTATGGTAGCTCCAGCGTCGCACCGCTGGAGCCCGACCCTGCGTCAGGGTACGTTGGTGGGCTTATCTGTCTCGTGGCCATGCCGCACTTGCCGGGGTTTGCTTTCGGGTACGCACGGGTTCCTGCCATCCGATCTGAAAATCTCACGTCGGCACTGCGGTGCATGCCCCTGCCCCCCCCCTTGTTTGCCCCTGCCCCCCCTTGTTTACATTGCTTTCTTTTCCCTTCTATTTTTCTTTTGGACGACGGCCTTGAGATGCCATCATCGGCCAGGTTCGAACGCAAATCTACAGTTCCTCGCTCGACGGGATGTACCATTCAGACACATCAGCTGGATACTTGCTTACGTTGTTGACGTTCTGGAAAATAATAAAGGTGTCGTTACCTCCTCACCGAAGAAGAGAGGTAGAAAGCTACTCTTGCAGGGGTCCCCTGTATAGCCTTAGGAGTGGTGGTAGGTAGGTAGTGAAAGGAAAAGATATGTTCCATGACATGGCAGAAGCCAGTTAAAAAATATGCGAGGTGAGAGAAAAATATATATAGCCCCAGGTAAATGCAGAGTTATTTACTCATCTGAGTTCATTGGGATCCAACTTGAGCTCTGCATTTCAACAGTTCATGGGTGTACCAACTGAGCTAGGCTGAGAAACAAAAATGCAGGAGTCCCAAGCAGCATCTGGGTGTTGAGGGATAGCAGAACGCGAAAATGAAGCGGCTCTGTTGCTAGAACTTGACCACGACGAGAACTTGACGTTTGCTGAGGGAGTCATACCAAAGCTCCTTGTCGTCATTGACTTTGACTGGTCGTACCTCGGCCAGGAATCCTATGCGATCATGGAAGGCAGGGAGGTGCTTGTGGGGAAGATCAGGCGGCAAGGGCCAGGAGCTGCAACATATCTGACAAGACGACTCAGGGGCATTTGTCCCCTGGTCTTCAATATGGAACCTGTGAACGAACTCATGTGTGCTTGCTGACTCGACCGATGTGAAGGCGAGATGAGGTAGTTCTCTTTCTTGAACTCACTCCTTGTCCTCACATGCACGATTGTGGGACGACTATGCAGCGGACGGGAAATGCTGCTCGTCTTCATTAGTGCTCCCTACCGTCTTCCCCCGAACACAACGCACGCTCATTTTGGCTGTATCTGGCCGGAAATATAGCTTGTAAACATTCATTTTTAGGGTGCGTTATGTTCGGGGGAAGACGGTAGTACTGCTTTGTTAGGGTGGCCCATCAAACCCCTGGTGTTGCCTCAATTTCTTACAGTCCACCTCGAACTGAGGTGGACAGAGGAGTAGTTTAGGTGTCGTGTAGCTGTGTCCTGTAGTATCTAGAGCAACTGGAGCCAGGTAGGGAATCTCGAGAGTGATGAGGGAAGCAATACGGAACCTATGAACGAACTCATGTGTGCTTCTTGACTCGACTGGTGTAGTTCTCTTTCATGAACTCCCTCCTTGTCCTCGCAGGCACGATGGTGGGACAACTGTTCAGTGAACGGGAAATGTTGTAGCTTGTTAGTGTGTGATGTGCCAACCCCCGCGCTTGAGCGAACTTCTGAAACCCTATGTTCGGCTGACGGGAAATGCTACCCTATACCTTTCTCGGCCTTTTGGCTAAGATCAAGTGTAGTATCTGTTCTGATCAGTTTAATATCTGATCCGTGGTCCATCGGAAAAAAAAAAAAAAAAAAGCTACCCTTTTTTTTTTTTTAGGCCTTAATGAGCTTTGAGGTATCTCCTTTTCGATTGGCGGGTAATGCATGGGTCCAATAGCCGCCGATGCCTATTTACTTCGAAATGTTTTTGCTTTCTCAGGATTTTCGAAATTTTTATGTTTTCCTTCAACGACTATGAACTTTACGAAGGAATTATGTGCACCTTAGCGAGCGCACGAGGAACTTTGTTCGGCAGTTGGGAGTTCTGGAATTTGCGGCCACACTTCTCCCTGAGTGTCCACAAATCCGTCTCGGAAAGCTCGGCGAATTTTCTGAAAGAATCGGAGTAGGCATAGAAATTTGCACGTTCAATTTCATGTGCAGATATTGCTTTTGAAATTTTCAATCTTGAACGAGTTCTAGAGGTGGGTTAGACGTAGCGTAACTGTTTCGACGCCTTTTTGTTTCTACGTTGGTGTCGTGCATGCAAGCTTCCCCCATTGTCGAGCGCATCGGTCCCGCAGGGGAACCCTCCCGGCCGCATCATGCAAGATTTTGCAGGACCTCATAGGGTGTTGCCGCTCCAGCTTAGTGCAGCAGTCGTACCTCTCACGAACCCCTACAACAAGATAGGGTCACGCGAGACACAACTTACCTCCACCTGCGGGCGCTCTCACCATCCCTTGGGTGGGCGTATCCCCGCCGAGCTACCAAACCACGTGCGAAAGTTTTTCGTATGCAATTGCAGACGTGGCCCAACCGAGGGCGTTTTTCATTCGTTGTAGCATGGGGGTTGCGGTTAATGGCGGAATCGGACCCGTGTGCGAATAGTTACCTGAGGCGCTGATCTCCCAAACGCGATTCTACTCCGGTTGACTAGGACGACCAGTCTAACCACGCGATACACTTTTGAATGAAACTCAAGTCCATGCGGAAATGGCGCCTAGTCCCTTCTTTCACTCAACACACAACTCATTTTGGTGCATGAATATGTAAACGCCGCGCGCGAAAATTTGTATAAATAATTATGGCGGCGTGAGCGTTATCATACCGACTAGCCATGTGCGAATACGTGAGCAGTCGTGACGATGGAGTACTATATGGTGCCCACAACCATGCAATCCCCTCTGAAACATGGACTCTCATTAGATGCTCAAGTGTCAGTTGACGCATGTATAAAAAAGTAAGCCCCTTAACGAGCATAGGAACAAACCGAACACCCCGCCATCTTCGACACTTTGTTGTGCCCCAAAGTGATGTAGAGTAAGATGGCATTGAGGGCAGAAAAAAATTTGGAGTGATGGTAAGTTGTTTGGCGGACCACCAACAATACACTAAGCCTTTTACCCGGAACTCTATCGTTCTACCAAAATCATTTTAAACGAGAAAAGCAAATTATCGCGCGCGCGCGTAAACAAGTAAACGTTCATACCTTGGTTTATGCTTAACACGTGTGTGCGCTAGTTATGACAGTCGTGCACAAGAAAAATGGTTAATCGCGCCTAGTCTCTTTTTGCGAAGGTTCTGACCCACAACTTATTTTGCGTGAGAATTTCTGTTGTGCTCCGCACGTTAATGTTTAAAACAAACGTCGACGTGGAGGAAACCAGAACACTCGGTTATGCGTATTTATGCAATCGATTGTTATGGAAATGCTTCAGGGGTTACCCACAATCGTGTAACCCTTTGCAGGTGTCAATGTTGAGCAATGCAGTTAAGTGTTCGAAATGAAGTATTATGAAGGAAGTATCCTTCACGATATAGAACGGCTGAAGGATGAACTTTTAAACCCTCGTGACATCTTTGACCCTTAAAAAGAGCGCTACGAGGGGCGAAGTGCAAATGTTCAACTCATTGGGGATTTTTTTTTTTTCGAACAAGAACCTGAAATGTTTTGAACAAGGACCTCGAATTTCAAGTTCATGATGAATATCCGACCAATGAATTCAAATAGTAATTAACAGTGCGCATCATCGTAGGTATCAAAAATATGTCTGCGCGTGTGCCCTCGACCATTCAAAATACATGGGTTGAATCAATCAGATAAAGGGCTTGTGTGGCATCATACGATCACTCTCACAAATATTCATAGGGTTTGTCCAGCAGCATTCACCCAATTCACAAGCAATCACAAAAACTCAATCTGATTGCTTGTGAATTGGGTGAATGCTGATCATACCTGCAATCATACAAAATTGAGCAACAATATCCCACCCACCCAATCGTATGATTGCTTTGATCCATCACCTTCCACACATACCTGCAATCATACAAAATTGAGCAATAACATCCCACGCACTAAGGGAGTTAACTTTACCATTCCCTGCGACTCATACCCCACCTTATCCACACACGGCCCAACTGTTTTCCACCATTCCATAACAAAGATATTCAGTCTTTATAAATGAACATTTAGAAAAAAGTTTGGGTGAAAATCTAAAAAAACATATAAAACGCAAGGGGGCTAAGGCTTCAGGTTGAGATGCAGAAGCAGGTGATAAAGGTTGTGTCGTAAATCGACCCGTTA